CCTGACCTGAAAAAGCTGCTGGTATCACAAGATCCGGCTTGAATCAGAGGTCAGGTTCATCACCACTCGGTACGTTCTGAGCATTCGAGAAAGCAACCATCAAGATGTAATTGAATGATACCGTTAAGGATGACATCTTCCCGCCTATCGTCATATTTTAGCGTTTTATGTATGTACCATCGCCAAAGTGGATGCGGGTATCGATAGAAGAAAGATCAGGCTGTCGTGTGTTACACTCGGTTTTTACGTATCTCGACTAATAAGTTCATGAATCGACTTTTAGTTTTGCCCTCGAAATCGGTTTCTCCCATAGGTTTACCACTAGTGAAGGGAAAATAAAAACCTTCACGCTCTGCCTACGTCACCAGAACTGAAGCTACCAATGCCCTTGAGTGGGGGCCGGCTGCTATAGTCAGATGGCGAACTATTTAGTGCACACACTATCTATCCATATATGGGGTCTGTTCACAAAAAGGTTTTATCTTTACGTTGTCCTGTGCTGGTATGCATTTCACCATTCATTAGTAATATTTCCGTCCATCATTAACCCGGTTTACATAGCATATTTGACAAGGCTCTAGCTCGTTAATTTGGCGATAATTTCGTTGCAGTGGTCTTCAAATATTTAGAAGGGATCATTTTGTAAATTGTTCAGCACCATTGGCATCTTTTGCAACATCACGGACGGAGATATAAGCTTGCAACAAACCCTATGTAAACGCGTCTATTGCTGGCTCCCACACCAATATTAGTATGTAAAAGTGTGATATGATATCGATCGTTCGTTTGCAAGTGTCTGACGATGGGTAATTATGAATCACAATCGCAATCCGTGCTTTGGTCATATGGTAAACGCGGGATTATTATTCCTAAAAAGTGATTTACCCTCTCAAGCATAATGTTACCAGTGAAGTGTGCCTTACCGTCATTCAGTCACCGAAAAATCCATACAGAATGGTAGACTTCCTAGAAACAAACTTATTAAAACACTTTTGACATCTTAGTGAATGTTGTGAATGTTGTTGTGTTGTGGTAGTGAATGTTGTGCTATTATGGTGCCGACCGGCGTGGCCGGACCGGACGTCGGTGCTGGCCTACCATAATGGCCTTAGCATGTCACAGACAGGTTGTTGTTCATGTGAATGCTTTACAAGCCAGTTGGCACGCAGCTTCTCTCGGTGCTCCATGCTTGTTTCACCATTGCTAGGGTGCGCTCAAGATTAAATATTGAATTAACCCTCGCCGGCACAGGGGGGGGGGGGGGGTTGATGCAACCCCCCCTAAGGTTTTTCGCGAATAACTCGCGTAAAAAGCGGCCGATCGCGACGAAACTTTCAGTACCCTCGCATTGATCAATTTTACACCTACCCTGAAAATTTCATGACCCTGACCCAAATGACCTTTGACCTGTGACCTCTTTTCCGAGACCATGTTTGGCCGAAATCGCGGTTCGGCGCATGTCGGCTCGCATTAGCCGCGCGTTTGCAAGCTTCTCGTGGTTTCAAACGTTCAAACATGTGATTTGATGCTGCTCCCATGCATTAGGGTGGGTGTCAAGGTCACCTGAAGGTCAGGTCAGGTCATTGACCTTTGGTGACCTCGGGTGACCTCGGTTCACTATTTCGAGTTTTACATGTTTCTAGGCTAGTTTTTGGAGCTGAATTCGAATTTAGCAATCATTTGAACATTTACGAAGTAGTTTTGGTGCCTTCGTGACATGGTACGAAGCTGTCAGAGGCGTTTGACACGTATTACGAATACCCGTCACAACCCCTACCGGTTGACCTGACCTGACCTGACCCGACCTGGTCTAAATGCTTAAAGACATCATCTCTGATCAAAACTAACACGATATTCGTGATCAGCACCCCGGAAAACCACTTAGCAGCCACACTACGACTTTCTAACAGGGCCCGATTTTCCCGGTTTTTGGGTCATTGACCTGACCTGGAAGGTCACCCGATGATCTAGGACTTTAAAATTGGGTATCATCGGTAGGACTAACTTTGGTAGAAGTTTCTAGTATAACTGCTAGAAACCCTACTTTATGTAGTCGGGACTAGCAAAAACCCAGTTCAAACTAGAATATGGTAGCACTGATGGTAGACAGTTGTGCGGGCAAAAATGACCGCAAAAACCAAAATCTCCAGCTCACAACCGACGAATCCGTAGTGCGAGACGCTACATGTGACCGGGCACCGCCGTCTCCGGAGAGGAGCGACGCGGGCGCGGCCGTGCGGATAAAGCTTACCATGTCTGCCGTAGATCGGCTGGGTTTCGTGAAAAATGGTAGAGGAGTTGTCGGAGGAACATTCGTCGATCTACCATATGAGACTAAGAGCCGTGAAAGTCTTCAAACGTTGGCTAGGATATGGCTTGCCGAAAACAGACCACATGTTAACCCCAAGGCCCTAAAACATAAGGTTAGACGAAGTTTTCTACCAAAAATGTACTAGAACAGCGCACGAGTCAAAGCTATTTCCGTTGTTTCGTTACAAATATGTCGCAAACAAGCGTTTTCTGTAATAAATCATTATTTTGAAGTTAACCAACCAGTTGCTATAAATTCAATAAACAAATACTTATGTTTTATACAAAAGCCTAGCATATATAGTCCAACTCTAGTTGAATAATCAAGTAGCTACTAAATTTTCCAAATGTGACACATATTGCGCACTTTAGACAAATGCTTTGCTAGGGCGTTGCTAAGGACTATTTCGCATGTTTTGCTGCCTGGTTTTTGTTATAAGTGCGGGAAGTGAGATATGGACAAGCTTTTTGATTTTTTTCTGGTTTTCTAGGACCGTCGCAATTATTTAACTTGACATACTTTTCTTGCTTTTTTATCCGAGGCTTTTTCAATAATTGGTAGATTGTAGCGTGGAAATAAAAGGGCGAGCAGGCCACAGGGGTAAATGCAAGTCGACTGATAGCGAAATAAAAGGTAGAAGTGTCTGTTCCATTAGAAATTTAATGTGATGTGAATGTGATGGAACATGAAGCAACAGGATCAGACGCAACAACCATCAATTAAGAACCCAGAACCAGCAAGCGCCATGCAATCAAGAGCAGCCATGGTAACGTTTGATTAGCTTTCAGAAAACCTTGGAAGACGCCAGACGGTGAGCAATCAAGAGATCTTACAAGACCATTAGTTACTTGAAAACGAGAGCCGCCAGGAAAATCAGTAGATTCTTCAATGGCAACACATAGTTCAACATCTATCTAGTAATGATTTGCACCAGCGAGGACCAAGGTGCTATCATTGTGTTTTGTGTCTGTATCCCTATAACCGGCAAAAAATATTTGTCAATATAAATAAACAAACAATAAACAAACAAATAATGCGTCTTTTTCTACTGAAAGTAAGTCCTCTAAGTGGCAGGGGATGAATAACAGGAGGTACCTATCTAATTAATTTTTATCTATTCATTCAATTCATAGGCAATTCAGGGCATCGATCGGCAGCGCCCTTACTGCATGGTACTGCAGATCGTCAATGGGTTTCTTTATGACTCCGACTCTGACTCACACTTTTAAAAATCAACTCTGACTTTGATTTCAAATGTCGGCTCTGATCGACTCAGACTCCACAGCCCTAGCAGATCTGCGGAGGCAATGGATTTTTGGTGACTTCGACTCCGACACTGGCTTTCAAAATCGACTCTGACTCTGACTCTGGTCAGAACTGTCGACTCCGACAAACTACAACTCCGACTACGGAACCCTAAAAGGTCTGCGGAGAGGATCAAATTTCGGTGACTGACTCAGACTCCAGCTTTTAAAATCGACTCTGACTCCGACTCGACGACTTGCAGGTCAGAACTGTAAACTCTGACCTACAGGGTGACACAAAAAAACGGTCATCACCAAATTTCGAATAACTTCGGAAGTTTTATTCAAATCATCACCAAACTTCGGCCACTTAAGGTCACACCTATGTAGCATACATCCACCAAGTTTCAAGTCTTCACTACGAATACTTTTAGTACAGTGTGTGTTTTACTGACGCTCCACAATGTGCTCCAGGTGAGCGCCACGGCGCTGCAGGGCGTAGGCACACTTGCATCCGGCGGGCAAAGTTGTCGATAACCCGATGGCTGTGCACTTTACAGAGTGCAATGGCCTCTGGAGACAGTGCTCAGGGGGTGTGCTACCCCTGAAACGTTATTCTTATCGGGTTATCGGCAACTTTGCCCGCCGGATGCAGGTGTGCCTACGCCCTGCAGCGCCGGGGCGCTCACCTGGAGCACATTGTGGAGCGTCCGTAAAACACACACTGTACTAAAAGTATTCGTAGTGAAGACTTGAAACTTGGTGGATGTCTGCTACATAGGTGTGACCTAAAGTGGCCGAAGTTTGGTGATGATCTGAATAAAACTTCCGAAGTTATTCAAATTTTGGTGATGACCGTTTTTTTTGTGTCACCCTGTACTTCATGACTCCGACTCCGGAGCCCTACTGGGCGCTATCACGCCAGGAAGCTGCAAATCGTATGTTTCGTGGCGGTTTATGGCATTTAAGTCGATAATGCGGCTGAATCGCACTATGAAACACCCTTATTGGCTGCAAGAATCACGAAAGTTAGCGCATCACCACGGGAAAACGTGAAGTTATCCATTAATTGGCCCTGGATTTGGATAAATAACATGTTGATGATCATATTAGCACACATTTACATTATCATCTATCTCAAGGTTGCCCTTCAGGCGGCTCTAAACTATGGCAATTTCCCTATCTTCAACATGTAAATGCCCTCGGGCGTCCTCGTGGCGACGAAGGCATGGGAGTGCCAGGTTGGTAGGAACTAGACTTCGACGCCCCCTGGTAAACCCTATGGGCTGGTAGGAAATGTAGGTACGCCGTGGAGCAGCAGTGCTACCTACTAGCTTCGTCGGGGGCTGGTCCATACAGGGTATATTGAGCGAAGTCCATATACGAAGGCATGCACGCATCTCATCAGTCTTGCTGTGCACCTAATTATCTAACTGCTTCCTCAGGAAGGTATGGGTTCGGGCGAACCGTCTCATGTATCGAAGCGTCTGCACAACAACCTGCTAGACCACGGGATCTCCACAAGCTAGACGGGCGCGCTGACGCGCGAGTTGGTCGCGGTGGACGGGACGACCGTGTACCGTGTCCTCCATCACATCTGTCTGCAGACCCCTGTCGAGGTAAGTCCGCGCTAAACTTCACTTCCTGACCAGTACTAAAGGCGCAGTTACACTAACGTGAACAGTCAGGTGCCTTAGTCCTCACCGGTATAAATCAATTAGGGAAATATGGAAACTGTCACTTAGGAACCGAAAGCATACTCACATTTAGGTCGAAAGGTGTCTAAATGTATCACATGTGATAAAGTTCCTTGAAACTTCTTGTTAGAAAATTGTTATGTAAGAGTGAAAGAATGAGAAAGCACGAGGCTGGCCCACCACCCAAATTCAAGTGAAGCAGTTTGCAAATTTGCACACAACTGCCCAGAAAGGCCTTTGTTCACATGATTCCATGCATGATGAAGAGCGGATTTTTATCTGCGTACGATAGTTATTAAATACTTATTCAAGGACAATTTGCAGTCATTACATGAAGGGAGAACGCCATATAACCACAGGCCGCCTTGAGTAAATATAAGCGCAATGTATTGAAATCTAGCGCCAGCTGCGCCGCGCTTGAGCGCAGCCATATCCTGGGATAATTTTCGGTATATAGTTGAAAGCTCTCAATTCTAGTTGTTTTTCTAGTTGATATAGTATAATTCTAGTATATACTAGGAAAAAAAACTGGAGTAGCCGACTCTGTAGTGCCCCGGTACGTACACTGTTTCTCGTGTGCTTTTCAGTTTTGGAATGATCTAGATCATTTTCCTGGAAACAATCACCACATTACAACAGCAGCACTTGGCTGACCTAGCCCGAAATTCCGTGTCGGCTACCGGCTGAAGCCAGCCTCCAGGAGCGCGGGAACTACTTTCCGACTGGGGGGGGGGGGCACACCATAATAGAGATTAACCTAGGGTACCCCCAAATCTAGTTTTCTCACCGGTTTTAGGCCACTTATTTTTCATCCCTCGGCTTTTTCAACAAAAAAAGAAAACATTTGCAAAAAAAGTGTGGTATTCCGTCTCAAAGCTGTGGGGGCACCGCCCCCACGGCCCCAGAGTTGGGGGGCAAGCTGCCCCCACTGCCCCCCGGCTCCCGCGCCTATGCGAGCCTCTAAAGTTCAGAGAAAGGCAAATTTCGGCAAAAAATGAGAGTTGCCCCCGATGCAGAAATTATTGGAGAACATTTTGATATGTTTCCACGCGTACCACCGCGTATCAAACTTTGTAGGGTAACCAGGCTGGCACGGTCCGCCGACATCAAAACCGACCCCCACCGGACACGATTTGGTAGCAGAGGTCTGTGACGTCAGCTGGGCGTGAAGTTTTCCCTTCACCATAGGCTTTGCACACAAACTGGCCAAAGTTCATGTCTGGATAGCCAAGCCTGAAGGGCAACAAATGATTACATTTTGCCCTTATTAGATTCAGCGCTTCATTTTATAACTGAAAACGTCCGTTATTAGGCCTCTATGGAGGTACAAAGTACTCGAAATCGAAGTTCAAGAAGATGCTGTCCGAGCACAATCTGGTAACATCACGTGACTTCTTTTCAACAGATTATATATAATTTAAGGATATATTTACACGATTTCTGCCTAAAACATCATAAATAGTACACTTTTAATATTTATTACTTCTGTTTAAGTCATAACATTGTAAAACGCAAAGTTTATCATTTTAGTCACGTGACCAAGGGTATAGCAGGGGGTTGGGACAAACACTCAAAGGATTTCAAGTTTTGTAATTAAGTTATATAAGTTTCATATTGAAATTGAAAGACTGTATTTTTTGCTTATAAAATACAAATTTTCGTTTGTAGAATATTTTCCTTAAAGGCGAAATTCTCCATATAAGAAATGTCCGTGACGTCACCAGGGCTTTACCACGGACGTATAAATAAACTGGACCCGCAACCACCTCCATTCAGGTGAAGCCGACAAGGCGCCATTTTACGTTGCCAAAATACCGTGCTCTGGAAGGTCATCGAGCCAATAGAATTATAATTGCATCTAAACGGATGATCGGATCGAGACGCTGGTGGTACCGTTCGACGGGTTATGCCTTGAGGCAGGTGATGATGCATGTCACAGGTCACCCGGTGTCACATGGCGCGTGCCACGTGCCGACAAACTTACAGAGGGCAAAAACCTTTAAGCGACGCTTCAAATCAAACGAAAGGCGGCACAGGTGCCAAACTCACAGGTCACATGCCTCAGTGTTCGACCACTAACATATGGTATGCTCGGCATCAGGGGGTGCGGAATGCACGCGCTTGTGGCGAAAAACATGTTTTGAGGAGGCATCCTCCGATTCCGGAAAACCTTGACCTAGGCACACCAAATTTGGCACAGTGACACTACTGGACACGCGCTTTAAGGTGCTGTACAAATAGGCGTGCTGGGGTACATGGTGCACGTGCTGTGCACGTGCAAACCTTTTGATGTTGCACTCTGTGTCACATATGCGGGTAGGGCGGGTAGCGCTGGCAAGCTCGAAGTGCTAAATTTACACAAGCCACCCAGAATGCATTCCAGCATAGTTATTGAGCATATCCATCTTCTGATGGACCCCAAAGGTGTGCTCTGCACGTGCAAAAAATTATCCGCGCCGGGCGGTGGGGATGCTTGGACACCCCATGTGGATTTATGTAAATATCTCGAAAACGGCGTTGTGGAGCGCCGCCGTTTTTTGGCACACCTTTTCATACATCTTTTTCACAAATGCTGCATAAATTTCAGACTTTGGTCGCTCAAGGTTAGGTCACCAGGTTACGTCCAAGTGGCCTTACCTTAGGAAAAATTATAATGCCCGTCATAGCTACGCAGACTAAACAATCGGTTTAAATTTTAAAACGTGTAGCGATAGATCAACAGTATATACGTAGAGTACCTACCTCTACCTCGAAATTTCAATATCACTGGCCTAGGGTTCTGTTGGTTTTGCGACCTCAGACCACCAGCACGGCAAATCATTTATGTTGTCAAATTCTGGCTCCTAAACTTTTTGCTACCCAGCAACGCAAATTTACGCCTCAATCGCCGGCCAGCGCAGCGTACGGGCATCGTTGTTATCCCCGTTGTTTCCGCCTGCAGTGATACTGTACCGCAATAACCATTATCTTCATCTTTCACCCATAGATGGCAGTAGCCAAGCGCCTGCATCTATGCTGTGCCGCAGTGCTCTTACAATACGAGCTGAGCATTGAGCAGGCGCGGTGTAATACGATTCCCTATGTGGTGGCCTGGACCGGTGACCGCGGCCAAGAAATGGTTTGAACTTGACTGAGTAGCGGTAAATCAGTATCTGATATCTCACGAGACCGTGTTGGGTCAAAATCGTGATTCGGCGTAAGTCAGCCCACATTATCCGCGCGTTTCCAGTCTTTTTGTGGTTGTACGTTCGAACATGTTAAATGTTGTTGGACCCATCCAATATGGTAGGTGTCAAGGTCACGTGAAGGGTAGGTCAAGGTCACTGACCTTTGATGACCTTGGTTCACCCTAGGAAATAACCCTAGGACATAAAGATAGGTCACAGCACAGGTGCAATTTCCCGATTAAGTTCGTCACGTTTCCCTGCCGCCCGTGTCCCGTTATTTCAGTGCATTGTTTAGTATGTTTATATGAGTTTCTTGCACAGAGGTGCAGTTCAATTGTCTCCCATTGACTTAACTGTAATAGAAAAATCGCGAAATCAACAGAACCCTATTTCAATGATTTTGAAATTCCGAGGTAGAGGTACTTATACTGTTGCTCTTATCAATCGCTGCGCGTTTTAAACCGATTGTTCAGTCAGTGTAGCTATGACGGGCACTATAACTTTTCTTAAGCTAAGGTCACTTGGACGTAACCTGATGACCTAACCTTGAGTGACCTAAGTCTGAAAGTTACGCAGCATGTGTGAAAAAGATGTATGAAAAGGTGTGCCAAAAAACGGCGGCGCTACACAACGCCGTTTTCGAGATATTTATATAAATCCACATGGAGTGTCCAAGCATCCCCACCGCCCGGCGCGGACAATTTTTTGCACGTGCAGAGCGCACCTTTGGGGTCCACCAGGAGATGGATATGCTCAATAACTATGCTGGATTACATCCTAGGTGGCCTGTGTAAATTTGGCACTTTGAGCTAACCAGCGCTACCCGCCCGTTCGCATATGTGACACAGAGTGCAACATCAAAAGGTTTGCACGTGCACAGCACGTGCACCGTGCACCCCAGCGCGCCTGTTTGTACAGCACCTTAAAGCGCGTGTCCAGTAGTGTCAGTGTGCCAAATTTGGTGTGCCTAGGTCAAGGTTTTCCGGAATCGGAGGATGCCTCCTCAAAACATATTTTTCGCCCCTAGCGCGTGCATTCCGCACCCCCTGATGCCGAGCATACCATATGTAAGTGGTCGAACACTGGGACATGTGACCTGTGAGTTTAGCACCTATGCCGCCCTTCGTTTGATTTAGAGCGTCGCTTAAAGATTTTTGCCCTTTGTAAGTTTGTCGGCACGTGGCACGCGCCATGTGACACCGGGTGACCTGTGGCATGCATCATCACCTTCCTCAAGGCATTACGCGTCGAACGGTACCACCAGCGTCTTGATCCGATCATCCGGTTAGACGCAATTTCAATTGTATTGGCTCGATGACCTTTCACAGCACGGCTTTTTGGCAACGTAAAATGGCGCCTTGTCGGCTTCACTATCTTCCATAGGAGGTCCATTGGGATTGTCAGTCCAGTTTATTTTATACGTCCGTGGGCTTTACTCAAAACACCCGACCTACCTGTTTCTTTTAGGTATCTTGATCAAAACAACGGTGCGTCAGCTGATTATTGGTCCTCCGATTCAGGAGAAATTATTAACGCGGGAACGCCGGCGCTAAATAAAGGCGGTAGGATTCACGGCTTTGCATGATTGTGTGCAATATTTTTTATAGTATCAAGCGAGGGGTATTGCTGGAGTTTTACAAATAAATATTTTGTTCTCAGTTTGGCTATGCGATCGTGAACACTTTATTTTCATAGATACGATATGAAATAGGATAAACAGGCCAACCCAAGGCTATGTAGGCCAACCTTAGACTT